TCACAAACGCCGAAGTTATCGACAAACATACCTTCATACAAAAAAAGTACATGCAGACGAATTGAGAACCTAATCTTTTAAGGCATTTATACACGTGGACCCTATACAGTGTTTTCGTCGTTAACATATCTTACAAGCATGGACACCTGTACAAAAGCAGATCAATCTTCAAATTATGAACAAGATTTACCTTCCTACCTCAATATTACCGGGATTTTGTAACTTAGCAACGCCGGTTGTTCAGTTGTTTTTGCCGTTCTTGTATTGGTTTTTTTTTTGATGTCAGTATTTTCTTCTTACGCGCAATAAAGAGTTTTTGTGCTCTTCTTATTGTATTTATAAAAGACAAATTATTCTGCTTTGTTCTTTATAAGGTTCTGTTTAAATTGTACAATTGTACAAATTCTATGAAAGAGTAACAAAAAGAGATTCAAAATAAAAAAAAACGTTCATATATTTAACACAAACAAAAGTATTTCTTAATAAGAAAATTAGAAACAATACAATAAAAATAAAATTATAATTAGTGCGTGACTATGGAAAAGTGCAGCGTACACTGTAGAGCATATTGCAAACAATGATTATCGGCTCGGTCCCACTGTTGTGAAAATAAATGTATTTTGAGATAGATTCTTACCAGAAACCAGATCGCATGACATGAAACAAAAAGTTACATGAAAATTACCTTTTATCTTGCAAACTGTACTATTTCTTCAATATTTTTGAATAAAATCGAAATATCTAGGTAAGAAACTCGGATAACAAAATTAAAACTACGTGGCAAACAATGAAAGAGTGCACAAATAAATTAAATCATAGAAACAAAAAAATATCAATCCTCGAATAAATGATTCTAGTACAGAGGATCCATACGATATTGCTAACTCTTTTAATGAACATTTTTCATCAATGGGGCTAGGTGATATTGCTAACGTATCCCAACACCCGCCTGCCGGTAGGTCAGTTCTCTCCACGGCCATAAACTCCATGTATTTGCCTCCCGTAGACACTAAAGAAGTACACGATATTATTCGAAATTTAAAACACAAAAAGCTTTTGTCATGATGAAATTCCCCCTATGCTTATCAGAAAATGTGCTGCGGAACTAGCATTACCGTTGACACTCCTAATAAATCAATCTTTTAACTACGGCATTTTCCCAGATCTGTTAAAAATAGCAATTATAAAACCCTTGTATAAAAAAGGCGATCATCTTGACCGAAATAACTATCGGCCCATATCACTTCTATCAAGTATCTCAAAAATATTTGAAACCGCGATGTCTAGGCGTCTTTATTCATTTTGTGAGAAGTATAACACTTTTAACAAAAATCAAAACGGAATTAGGAAAAATTAGTCAACGACTCTTAAATATATCAAAAAAATATAAATAAATAACTATATTAAAAATAATTAATGAAAAAAGCGAGCTTTCGGCATGTTGCTTGATATGAGCAAAGCGTATGAGAGGGTAACATTTGACATACTGCTGTCAAAATTGCAAGGAATAAGCGTGAGAGTGGCATGGAAGTGGTTTGCGTCATATTTAAAGGACCGTAGTTAGTATGTCGAGATAGAGAACCACGACAACCTATCTGGTAATACAACCACTATCAGATCGGGAAAGGTCGAAGTGACGATGTCGATCCCCCAGGCAGCGTTCTCGGATGCGTGTCGTTTCTAGTTTATATAAACGATTTGCCCAATGTAATCGATGTGGCATGTACCCTATTTGCAGATGACATACCTATAGTTGTTCCATCCAAAATAACGTAAATTAAATGTCCGAAATAGTCGCTTGGTTTAATGATCATAATTTAGAGGTAAATTTAAAAAAACGAAATTAATAGAATTTGGGCTCATCAAAAGAAGTTCTTTAAATATTAATTATAAATTTAGAAATTATCTATTAGAACAAGTTGATACATACCCACTTCTAGGGATATCTGTTGATTCAAAATTAATTGGAAAGAACACATCAATAAAGTGGCCATAAAACTGTCAAGATTTTCCTATGCATTACGTGAACTAAAAAAGTTAGCATGCACATGCACAATGCACACGCTTGGCTAGCATATGGTATAGTGTTGTGGGGTTCCAGTACGGATGTAACGAGACTCTTCCGGTCACAAAAGAGGTGCATAAGGATGCTGTTAATATAAATGTAACAGATAGCTGTAAACCATACTTCTCTGAGAATGAAATATTAACTCTTACTGCCCTGTATATCTATGTGGCTTATGATTTTATTAGGAAGCACCCCCATCTCTTTCCATACCACTCGCGACCACAAAACTTAAGACCACAGACGCGGCTTGCCAGTTAAAAAAATATTTTTGTTCACTTCAGGACTATCTACATAATTAATTAGAATTTTATTTGTGTCACGACTGTCAATGTTTATTTTTGGAGTTTTATTTAATCAATTTTTCGTAATAATGTGTGTAGTTAAATTTAATTTTATAATTTATTTAATATGTTTCATTTGCCTAATTATATTGTATTTAATTATTTTGTAATTCAATTTAATTTTACATGGATCAATTTTTTTTATTGCATGTGAATAAATTAATTAAATTTAATTGTTAACATTGCAGTGCCCTTGCAGGGTTCATGTTTGGTTCACAACAACATTTTAAAAACTACAAGTGTACATACAACATGATACTCAAAAAAGAATTTGAATTTGAATCCTCAAAGTTAATGGACAGTCTTGTAGGATCATTTTCCTGTAGTTATGACGGTCAAATTTTCACCCTGCATAAATCATGTACACAAAAATATAAAACGAAATTTTCATCAGTAAAATTGACAATGTCAGTAATCCATGAGTTGTTTATTAATGACACAACAACTAAGTATATTGACAAATATTTTTTTTTCTTATCTAATTAATGTCGCCATTTTGGTACATGGCTTCTGAACATACCTTCGAAAATAAAACCATGGAATCAAACACGACTGGAATCTCTTTTGAAGTAAAGATGGAGATAGTTTCATACTTTAGCGTCTGATTAGTTGCAATATCAACGCATAAAGTTGATTTCTGCTCCTTGAGCAGTCCTCTTTTCAACGTCGCTAGCTCATTTTAGCTTCTCGAAAAGATACTTCGCATTTCTGATAATCATTATTTTAAGATACCAAGTAACTTCAAGAAGTCGTGCGCCTGGTCGTAAGCGTATCCATAGCAGTGCCACCCAAACCATCTTCCACTTCGCCCGCCATCCTGAGACATAAGTGGTCAATCCCATATGCCTGTACTTTCATCAGCACTCTAACCATCCCTGGACGAACTTCTTCACGAGTAGTTCACTTTGCACTAAGGATGTTAAATATACCACGTACTAGCTTATAAATAACATCACGCGGGTTTCTCTTTGATACAGAAAAATATTGACGCTTTGTATAACTTTCTTTGTTTGTTCAAGAAGTCTTATAACAACTGTAGTGGAGCATAACTCTGTGACAGAGAGAATACAAATTTTCCTCACTATCACGTGTTTTTTTTGTAGAGCTTGGTACCGAGTGAGCAGACTATACAGTATCTGAGGTAATAGATCTGATTGCTCTGAAGTGGAAAGCAGCTAAGGTATATCGAAGGCTATTATTATGATTTTCTTTTACATTGTTGAGTTTTACAAAAATAGACCACGTGAGATGGAAGATTTTTTGTGTTCTCGATTATATTGAATATTATAATGTTTTATTAACATGACGTTCATTTTTTATTGTGAAAATACTCTATTCGTTAGTCATAATTACACAAAGGTCGAACCTGCGCCTATTTCCCAAACTAGGGTTAGATATTCGTTAGCGTAGAGGGTCATATTTATTTATAGAAAGAAAGAAAGAAACCGTGTATTTCATGTATCTACGTAAAGTATGTTAGCGAATAAATTAATTATTTATTTGAGTTTTTCGGAATTTATTTGCTAAACTTATGAAACCTGTACGTCGAAGAAGGTTCCCAACCCTTGGAAAACGTGTGAAGAGCCCAACGCGCATTGGGCCAGTACGGTGGATTATGGCCCGAAACCCTCGCCTGAGAGGAGGCCCGTGCCCAGCAGCGGGACGTGTGATGAATTGAATTGAAATTTTCCAAAGGCAGCTTATGTAATTTGTTGACGCTTAAGCGCATATAGAGCTTAGACTTTGAAAACCAATTTTCCATCCTTTAGGATATAGTAGGTTCTCTATGTACAATTTGCTGACGACAAAACTTAAGATTAATATTGCGACTGTGAACTGCAACCGGTACTATCTCAATTTTAACACGATGAAGAAAGAAATTGTTTGCGTGTCTTATATAGCAACTGGTTTATTAAATAAAAATACGTACATAGTGTGTGTAATAAACATATTTAAAAACTATGTATTTTATTTAATAAATCAAGTACTATATAAATGACGCAAACAATTTTTTTCTTCGTCCTATAAAGTGGTCAAAATTGGGATAGTACCGATTGCCAATTCTCAGTCGATCTTTTATCTGACTTCGGTCTTCTATATTTCGAGTTTTGGGATTTCGTAAAAAAGAAACTTACCCGTATATAGGTTTTGGGCTTAACTGTCTCTGTGGCCGAACGGTTACCATGCCGGACTGCCACGCAGAGGTCCCAAGTTCGATTCCCGGGCCGGGAGAAATATTTGTATCGCCTGCATTTATTTCTTTCGTGAGTTTGGGTGTAATTTGTAGTTGTTTATTTGTATGTCCATGGCACCCGCGACACAGGGTTTCTCTCGGGTGGGGCTATGTTGAGTGTGTGCGTTCCCTAATGTCCGTCTGTATTTAACTATAAGAAAAGATCACAGATACTCCTGATTAAAAGTTGTGAGCTATTATATCCACAGAATGCAAAAACGCGCCCAGTGCGGTGTTGCTAATAGAAAATAAAAACCTATCGATTCTACAGTTCTTTTGTTCAAATTGAGATGTAAATGATCAGTAAATTAATGTAAATGGCTAACCGATCTTTTACACACTCGTGAGCGGTCTGCGCGGGCGCACGTTTCTCACGAGTGTTGCTTATTAATTGTATTTTTTTTATTAATCCCATTATTTATACTTATTAAATAACCTCCAAAAAAAATTGGAGAAAATGGGAGCTGTTGCGGAAGCTGAGAAAGTTTTAAATGTTCGACCTAGTAAGTAATTTATTTCATACATTCTTAAATACAACCTACTAAAGAGGGTAGATGTCGATGGAGGTAGTCAGGTGGATGCAAACGGCCCAGACAGTTAAAAAGTAGATCCGTGCTCAGAGTGATATAATTGTTTCAAAGAGATATGAATATTTTATTTACCTTACTTTACACTGTAACAGGCTAAGGGAAGAAACAGATTTCTTATAGATGGCGCTACGGCAAAAACTCGTTAAAAACCAAAAACATGGGTCTGCAACAAAAACATATAAAAATTCGTAAGGTCCCTTAGTTTGTTCCGTTGCATAATTGGCATAACGTCTAGCACGGTTTGCTGGAAGACGCTGGTTCGAATCCAGCTGGATTTATGGATTTTTTATGGGAAGTATTTATGGGACACCCTACGTATTTGTAAACATTTAGTAGCAATACCTCGCACAACTCTGTGTGTGTGGAAGAAAATATCGTCATTATACCCAACGTCTGATGACCGATTACAACTCATGGAAAAACGTGTGAAGTCCGCAACCCATAGCAGGATTAAGACCTAGAGTCTTTCCATATAGGAGACGGGTCCAGCATTGATATTTACAATGGGGTTAATGATGATGATAACCTTGAAAAATCTCTAATAGATTGTAACAACATCAATCTCTTTTTTGTCGTCTTTATTACCAGAGTTAACGCCGCATTATATACCTACCTCCGTTACAGTTACATTTAACTCATGTGGCAAAGCGAACAAACATTTGCATAAGACGATTAAAACAAAGACATATCAAAGAATTAGAACATTGGCAATGATAATGTTAATTTCAGAAGGTCTAGGCGTGCGACATGCGCAAACGCTGCTGCTCTTTTTCGCGATGCTGATCGCGTTCACGATGCGCGTCAACATAAGCATGGCCATCGTGGACATGACTGACGTTAATAAACAAGAGGTAAGTCCACATTTTATTAAACACTATATTCATTTACCAATTTTGAATTCACAATAACAGTTTCATGAGTCTCCTTTTAAAACATACTAAAAGAAATAACCGAATGTAGTGATTTACGTTCTGTTATCTCCTTTACTTCGAAAGTTTGCCACTGTTTGAAAGATCTTTTTAATTTCAAAATAGCAGTAGTAATTGACCTTTTGGTCCGGGACTACCACGACGAACGAGAGAAAGAGAGAGCGATAAAATATGCGCTTGTTGAAAAGGATGGAAATCAAAGTTCCCTGGCTGTCGGCTTGGCGCACGCGTTCGAGAACGCGCAACGATTTTCCGAAGTGATACCGGTTTTTAAATTAATTTTAGGATATATCATCATCAACCTATCTAAGTTCACTAAAGGACAGCCAAAGATGCGCCAATATTCGGACTTTTTAGATACTTGTCCAGCTCCACGTGGTCCCTTATCTCAGGTCGTCCTTTCGCCTGCACGTGGTGCCCGCTCTAAATTCTCATTTTACTGTTTCAGTAAACATAAGTCTAACGAAACGTGGCCAGTCCACTGCCACTTTAACTTACTAATGCTCGCTAAATGGACTTGATGCTATTCTCAATTCCCTCATTGAGTTTGTCCATAAAAAAGTGTTCGAGCATTATTCGCTGAGGGACTTTGGTCTGCTACACCCTACTGAACGTCCACGTTTTGATATTTGACATTACGCCGGATCTGATATGTGTTTTTTAGCAATACCCAAACCTATTCTATAACTTTAGTCACTGTTTCATTCTACTTCGAAAGGTTTATTTCATTCTCCTTGGCGAGAAACTGGATGACAGCTTCGACCTTCATGGGATTCCAAATACATTCCATAGGTCGTTAATGCATAGTCGGAACCAAAATGTTTTGTTTCACTATAATATAATAATAATAACGCACACTCTCAACATAGCCCCGCACTAGGATACCCTGTGTCGCCGGTGCCATGGACTTATATATAGACAACCACAAATGACATCCAAACTCACGAGAGAAATAAATGTAGGCTCTACAAATATTTCTCCCGACCCGGGAATCCAACCTGGGACCTCTGCGTGGCAGTCAGGCATGGTAACCGTTCGGCCAAGGAGGCGGTCAGTATTTCACCATAATGCCGTGACCATGCCACATTTATTAGTCCTACTACTTGGATCGTAACAAAGTCTATCAATTTATCAAATATTGGTATTGACATCGAACTAAAGGTTGGAACCCTTTTAATATCTGACCTAGACAAGGGAAAACCTTATGAAAAATCGGTCGATGTCAAACCCTTGCAGTAAATAAATGTTTCTGGTCCTTATTACTTTTATTACAGAAGTGAAATCAGGTTTAATATATTAAATAGTGTATAAGTTATATAACGAGAAGGTTTAGATCATAGTCCAGAGCGTTCTCAGCTATTTCACAGTTACAGTGCTCGGCCAGGCAAAAATTTTAATTTTCATTAACCAGTTATTGCTAAGTGCATAATGGGTAAAAGAAAACGTGAAAATGAAGACCGTGATGATTACGAATACTACCGTACAAAAACAAAGAAGTTAAAAAATGAGTTAAAATGTAGACGTTGCAATTGCCGACATTGTCTGCAGAGTCGGGATCTAGGTTACTAAACACGAAAGGTCAGGTTCTTGCATTAAGTAGCGAGGTTACGTGACCTAAAAATAATAGTTTCTTACTTCTTGATTGTCAAGCAACCGCTCTCTCATTGGTTTACCGTCGATCCTTATAGAACATTTATTTGTTCAAATATTTCGCTAATTGAGAGGAAAAAACACATTGAAAATTAAAATCTCGCTTAAGGAAAGCAGCGAAAATCGACATCCGGCTATTTAACCTCTGGCCTAAGCATGTTGTGTTTGCGCATTTCAAATAATAAATAGATCAGACTATCACATTCCGGGTTCGTAGTTTAACCCTGGTTTGTTCAATAAGACAACTATTATAATAGGTATTCTTAAACCTCTGGTTCAACTTTACAACTAATTTCATCATTTCGTAATCATCAACACATTATAAGTTCCACGACACGAGTTAAGAGCTTAGGCCGTAGTCTGCCATGCTGTCCCAATGTCGATTGGAGACTACACATATTTCTATCGGTTGTGAACCTTCTTCGACGTGTAGGTTCCATCATTATGTTTTCCGTAACTGTTACTTACTAAATATTATTATTACATTATTTTATTATGATAAACAAGTTGTGCGGCTGGTGTTAGGCGACATACAACATAACATAGCAGTTGAAGTACCACTCAGAGGTTTAAAACGCAAAAATCTTTGGTACACTGCCACAGCGCCTGTTACCCTGTGACATAAGTTGAAAAGTCCCATTTGCATGTAATTTCACCAGCAGCCTTGCCCTTCAAAACCGAAACTACTCTACTCACATTGCTGCTTGGCGACAGAAATAGATAAGGTGACAGTACTTCCTACGATCCGAACCTTTATCCTCTCATATGAGAAGCAACAATTCTCCCAATGGGCAATCTCAGAATAAGCCTTCCAAGTATTTGTTTTTCGGATATCAAGTGATGTGAAGAACAAGTGGTGCGCCTGGTGGTAAGCAATACGCCAATCTATAACGGTAGCAGTGTCACATAAAGTTTTAAGTCGCAAAGATGTGAGGGACATATCACAGCACTTGTCATCCAGAGATATAAAGTTGACATTTTTTCGTCCACTAATTGAAATTGACACATTCCAATTCTACTTTTAATAGGACATCCGGTCGAAGTGAACAAATCACTACTATCTCCAAAAGAAGTAATTACTGTGACACCTTATTTATTATCACAGTTTTTTCCACGCACAAGATCTGACGTCAGATTTCTTAATGATGTTTAGCAGTTGACCGCCGATGACCTTGACTGTTCCACTGGACTAGCGGGCGAGTTAAGGGCTCTTGGAGGCCTAAGAGCGCCTAGCCGGACATAGATCTCGGCTCTGTTGTATGTTGAACTGATAACTCTTCAGTCTAGCCAGCGAGGATCGTAATTCAGTGTGGACATGACGTTATAGTAAAATGTAGCTCATAGTAAAATAATACAATTACAATAAGCCCTCTAGCGGTATAACCGTAATAATGCCATATCCTCCTGCCTCTTGTGTATGGAAAAAGAACAGAATACGTTACCGGTGTCTGTGTTTCCCGAAAACTACAAAATTTAGGGCTTTTCAAGGCGAGATTCACACTTTTTTAGACTAACGCCTTGCATAGTCGGTCACACAATGTCTCAACATCAGGCGAGATTGTGACAAAGCGTATACTAATTAGATACAGGGTGTCCCACAGCCGCGGACACGGAGGGGTTCTTTAAAATATTATGCTACTTAAATAAATGACACTTTTGATCACTATCATAAAAATACAGGATTTTTTTCACATTTGGTCGGTTCGTACCATGGTGAGGCAAGCAACTTTAAAAAAATCTTCGTATGCACTATTACCTACTTTTAAAAACAAAATAGGTGTCTCCATGAAACAAATTATTGTAACTACAATATTTAAAGTACTTTCCTTTCATGTTGCGTAGTCGTGAGATACCCTGTATATAAAAAAGGTACGTAAGAGAATCGAAATTTCCGTTTGTTTGTTTTAATAATTGGAATCCGAAGTCAATAGATTTATTTGTGTACTAAAGTCAATTGTACGGCGAAAATGATTGCCAACTAAATTGAATACACGTTTAATATAGCAGTGAATGTAGCTTTAAAATACAAAAGTTCTACCGTATTAGATCAACTGTAGAATAATGCAGCTTAATTTTTTAATTAATATTCATTAAATTACCCGCGTACAATCTCGAAAGTTATTAAAGACAAGAAATGGGTAATTAAGTAGCAAAGTCATCTTAAAAAATATCTTCAATGTAAATAATAATGTGCTTTAGGATATAATTTTGAATTTCGTTCGAGAGGAATCTTGAAATATTATTAAGGTTAATAAGATATTGAATATTAATCTTGGACGAGAATAAATTATGAGTAAAAATTAATTTCAGAATGTTACTTTTCCTTCCAAGATTGCAGAGTTCAGAGCTTTATATAAGAAATTGATTTTTATTTATTGGCGTACAAAATTTGCTTTATTAAGGCTTTTGTAATGGGCCATTATTCTGGCGCATAAAGCCGAAAATCTCTGGAATTTACTCGAAAGTACGTTTTTCCGTGATTCCACAACGATTTTAATTTGTGTATAAATATTGCTAAAAAATTAAAATCACTTTGGATCAGTCACTTTGGCGCAAGAGTGTTTCATAATAAGTTCATGTACTTACAAAAATTTGCGCCATGCTTTTAACTATAGTTTTGGCTGCTAAACCAGCCGTTCTCCGTGTTTCTCTGCTGTTTACTGCCTTCTGTACCTTGACGTGGTTCCCTAGATTCATTTTCATTCTATTTAGCCCTTCTAGCTTGACTCTTGACTTGTACTCCCACAGATTATAAAAATTATTGGTTATCTCGGTTATTTCAACTTGTCCATTAAGGATATTCGAATAGTGTTTCACATCTATGTTGTGGATATTCCAATGATTCGCACAAAGCGTTACGTTACGTTAGCTTCGACATTTATATAATGGCGAAGGGCTATGGAGTGGACTTCCCTGCCTGTAGACTTGTTCCCTGAACGTTATAACCTATGGACCTTTTCAAGCGAGGGTGAATAGGTACTAATTGGGTGTGCATGCTCCATCATCGATCTCATCGCCACTTTCGATCAGGTGAGATGGAGGACAAATGCATACTTACTTTATAAAATACATATCTATATTTATATTTTTATTATACATTTATTACATACTTTCATGTTTTTATATAGTTTTCAAACATTACACTCAAGTTGTATTGCAATTAATTATTGCTATGAAAATAATTGATACGGATATTATCATGAACTTGTGGTTTTTATCATTTTTATTAAGAAAGCTAATAATGTCAACAACCCATTTAATCTGGTTTCGGC